TGCTATGTGCTATGGTAACTATATTGCTGTATGACCACTCACACTCTGGTATAGGCAGGACTTGAAAAAAAAAAAAGCATCTGAACATATTATAACACCTTTACGTTTAGAAAAAATTTTCAGCAATTTTTTTTCTTTTTTGACTAAAAATAATAGTCTGGATGATGATATGCTGTATTGCAAGAACAATATAAATACAAATCAACTGAAACACAATTCTTACCAACCTTCCCTCATTATTCAGTCAGTATCAATACAGACAGATTTTAGAGAGAAATGTCTTAATTGGAATATCTATCATTGCAGCTGTAAATATGTGGCCCACAGGCTTAATCTGGCCCATGTCCTGTTTTTGTACATTCTGAAACTAAGAATTTTTAAATGGTTGGGGGCGGAAGGATGAAGTGGGGTGTACCTCTGTGGCAGAGCACTTGCCTGGCATGGATGAGGCGCTATGCCCAGAATCACCAAAAGAAAAAAAATTGTAAGAATTATATATTGGGATATCTGAATATTGTATGAAATTCACATTTTAACCTCAATGATTTTTTTTAAAAGCACAGCCATGTGCATGTATTTACATATTACTCTGGGATGCTTTTGTGTCACAACAGAGCTGAGTAATAACAGAAACTGTAGGCCTACAGAGCATAACATATTTACTATTTAGTCCTTTACACAGAAAGTTTTCCACCCCCTGATCAAGAGACATGAGTTGTAAAGAAAATGTTAGGCTAGGAAGACCAGTATCTCTTTCTTTCCAAGAAATCTTTAGCAACTTTAGCAACTTTTACGATGGAGACTTAGGCTTTTTCCACTGAGCTTTTGCCTATTCTACCCACTGCTGCATTTAGGAAAGTAACTGTTGTTTTGTGGAGACCAAGTGGCCTGAATGTTTGTGTCCCCAAGAAAATTCACTCTATCACTTAATCCCCAAAGCAGTAGGGGCATAGGAGCTGATTAGGCCATGGGGTTCCACCCCAGTCGATGGGTTTATTGACTTTCTAAAGGTCAGAAGAGAGCTAGCTAAACTCGTTGTGCCCTTCTGTCACATGAGGACACTCTATTTAAGGTGCCTTCATAAAAACTGACCCCTTACCAGGCACCAACTCTGATAGTGCCTTGATCTTTGACTTCCCAGCATCTATCACGGTTTAAAATACATTTACTCTCTTGGAGGTCTACTTAGTCTTGAATATTTTGTTATACCAGCACAAAAGGACTAAGACAGAATTTGGTACCAAGAAGTAAGGTATTACTATGATAGATACCTAGGAATGATGATGCAGCTGGACGGCAAAATAGTATACCAGTAAGGGTTCAAAAGAAAAGTGTTATGACTTGTGTTTGGATATCTTCGCCCACAAAGCCTTATGCTGTTATAGGTGGGGCTTTTTCAGGGGTGGCCGGATCTAGAATTGTATGACTGATTTGTGGTGCAGTGCTAGGATTAAGGGTGTAAATGCTATTTGCCCTAAGGGAGGATAGCATGGATACAACATAAGGGACAGAAAAAGGCTTGCTTGTAGTTGGTTGGTTGCTTGCTTTTGCTTTTGTCTCTCTGTCATGAACAGTTTCTATTCTGTGATGCCCCTCTGCCATGCCACCCTACCTTGGAGCCAGCTGATTACGGACTGAGACCTCAACAAACTGTGATCCAAATAAACCTTCCCTTCTTTAACTTTAAGTGTCAGGTATTTTGTCTCAGCAATGAGAAAAGTAACTAAGAGAAAAAGGAAAGCTAGACACTACCTGAGTGGCCATTAACAAAATACTGGTAGAAATGCAGACAGTAAAGACTATCCTGATGCAGTCTTAAGGGGAAATGAAGAAAGTATTATTTGAAAATTTACCTTCTTATTTATTAAAGTTCAAAAGAACTTGGGTGAATTGTGTCCATACCCTAGTACATTTTGGAAGGCAGAATGTGCTAACGAGAGACGAGTATATCTGCCAGAAGAAATTTCTAAGCAAAGTGTTGAGAGTGCTGCATGGCTTCTCTTCACTGTTTATAGTAAAATATGATAAGATAGAAATGAATTAAAGATGGAATTTATAATCAAAAGGGAAGCACACCTTAAAGATTTGGAAAATTCTCAGCCTGGCTATGTAAAGAACAAAAATGTGTGTTTAGGGTGTAGATTAAACAAATGTTGGGTAAGATTTGTACAGTATAAGAATAGCCAGATGCTATTCACCAAGAGAAGAGAAAAATGACTCTGAAGGCTTTTTAGAAATCTTTGAGGCTGCTACTTCAACACAGCCCCAGGTGCCAGGTCCTTGAGTCTAGAAAGATTTCAAAAGAGGGAAAAGGCACCATAGGATCTTGGAATTTTCTGCTCAGCATTAGGTCAAATTTCTGCTCCATGCATTTGGGACAGTACATTTTGGCTACTCCAGCTGTGGCTTAAGGATCCAGGTAAAGCTCAGGCCATTTGCTCTGGAAGGCACAAGTGGTAAAGTTTTGGCAGTGTTTGTGTGATGCCGACTATGCAGATGCACAGAGTATAAGAGCTTGGAGAGCCTTGGAGCCCAGGCAGAGAACTTCCAGAGGCAGGACTGCCACAGAGATCCCCTTCTAAGGCAATGCCTACTGAAATTGTGGGAGCAGTACCACCTCTGAAACCCTGAGCCTGTAGAGCCACTCCAGCCTGGGAAAGTTGCAGGTATGACACTAACCCAAAAGAGCTGTAGCCTGGGTGCACCAAGAAAAGCTGTAGGGCTAGGGCTTCCCAGAGGCTTGAGGGCCTAGCTCCCACTCCACCATGAAAGATAGGATACTCAGTGCAAGAAGAGTTCTCAAGTCTCAGGATTTAATTTTACTTGCCTTATTGGAGTTTGAGTTTATTTGGGACCAGTTGCCCCTTTTTCTTCCCATTTCTCCCTTTTGGAATGAGACTACCTATCCTGTTCTTGTCCTACAACTGTATTTTGGAAGCACATGACTTCGTTAATTTCATAGTCACAAAGATGTAGGGGGAATTTGCCTTTGGATAAATCATAGACTTGATTCTTACCCAAATCTGATTTAGATGATATTCAGATGAGATTTTGGAATTTAGACTTTGGAATTAATGCTGAAATTAGTTAAAACTTTGGGAGCTATTAAGATGGAATTAATGTACGTATTTTGTATGTGAAAAGGATATGAATTTGGAAGGTAGGGGTAAAATGTTATGATTTGAATGTATGTGTCCCTCTAAAACTCAAATGTTGAAACAACCTAGTGAAATGTTTTCTTTTCTCTTTTTCATTTTTTATTTTTCTTTCTTGAGAGAGTGTCTTGCTATGTAGTTCAGGCTCCCCTTGAACTCACTATGTAGCCCGAGCTACAAATTCATGGCAATCCTCCTGCTTCAGCCTCCTGAATGCTGGGATTACAGGTGTGTGCCACTACTCCCAGCCAAGTGCAATGATTTTAAGAAGTAAGGACTTTACGTAATTGGGTGGTGTAGGCTCCTACTTCATAAATGGGATTAAAGTTCTTATAAAAGAAGCTTCATGCTGGATGCAGGTGGTGCATGCCTGTAATCCCAGCTATTTGGGAGGCTGACAGGAAGATTGCAAATATGAGGTCAGCCCAGCCAATTTAATGACACTTTATCTCAAAACACACAAAGGGGTAGGGATATAGGTCAGTGCTGCTGGGGGTACTGGAGAAAGAAAAAGGTTTCAAATAGTGTTTAGCCCCTTTTCGCCCATCTGCCTTCCACCACGTGAGGACACAGCAATAAGGTGTGATCTTGACAGCAGAGCCAGTGACCCCAGACTTGGAAATTGCTTGCACTATAATTTTAGACTTCCCAGCCTCTGGAGCTATGAGAAGTAAATTTATGCTTTTTATAAATTACCTGGTCTCAGGAGATTTTTTTTGTGTGTGTTTGTGACAGGGACTAATTTGATCGGACAATTCAATCATACACTTGGTCAATATATTTTAACACTGGAGCCTGCTGGGATCAGGAACATGGTACTCACTCTCTCATGTGCTTCACCTTGGTTCTGGCCATCATGCTGTTGAAAATGGTTGGTCCTGGGATCATCTCTGCAGCCACACTGGTCACTGTCCTTGTGTCTGAAAATTAATGTACAACCCTTACTGACTTCATCAACTGCCCTGCAAACTCAAGGTGACATCAAGGCAATCAGAAAACAAATGCTAATCCACCTTTGCTACAGGCCATGCTACATTAACTGAATTAATTACATGAATTTTGTTATAACATGCACATTAAGGAGATTTATTCCAAATGATAAGATTATTTACAGTTTCTTTTTTTCCTCATTGAGTTTATTGGTACATTTTAGGGATACAGTACAGTTACATTCATTATTGGGATCTTGTACCTTTACATGACAGGTCTTGGTTCTCATTTTTTCCCCTTGTCCCTGCCCTCCCTTCACCCCCTCCTCCCCTCCCCACTTATAAACACTTTATTTCCATCTTTTCATTTCCTCACATTTTTTTCTTTTCCCTTATTACCTTTCCTGTACCCTTCCCACTTCCCCTACACCTTTAGCCCTTTACAGTTTTAATATGCACAAAAAATTATAGGACCAAGCTGCTTTCCAAAAGGCTTCTTTAAACAGAACATTACTGGAAACCAAACATTAGCTTTCATACTAGAAAACTCAGAAGGAAATAAATCTATAGATAAGCAAACATTCCTGGGGAACCTTTAGCTACTCTCTTTTAGCAGATGAAGATATTCCTTTAAGTGACTCAGAACTCTTTCTAATAAGCTTGATTTTCTTTTTAACCTGAAATTTTTTCTTTCTTTTTTCATTGAGTTTATTGGTACATTTTAGGTATACAGTACAGTTACATTCATCACTGGGATCTTGGACCTTTACATGACAGGTCTTGGTTCTCATTTTTTACCCATACCCCTGCCCTCCCTTCACCTCTTCCACCCTTCCCTATTTACAAAAACTTTATTTCCATTATTTCATTTTCTCATATTTTTTCTTTCCTCTTATTTCCTTTCCCTTACTCTTCCCACTTCCTCTACACTTTTAGCCCTTTTCTTACTATTTCACCTTGTCAGTTATACCATTTGGATCTTATTTACACTTTTAGTTTTTCACACCAAAGAAGCTATTTGGTATTTTCTCATGTGACTTATTTATTTCACTTAAAAGTATAACCTAAATGTGTATCCATTTTCCTATAAATGACTCTAGATTCTCATTCTTTATGGCTGAGTAATACCCCATTTTATAGAAAAACCCAGTCTCTTGACCCAGTCTCCAACTGATGGGCAACTGGGCTGTTTTCTTTCTTGATCATTAGATTTTTGGCAATAGAAAGTAAGGTACAAATTGTGAGTCATCTACAGTCTTAACTTCAGCAGAATGGAGTAGAAGGCCAAAGTTTAGTGTAGAAGGTAAAGAGTTGTTAATGCAAGCTGAGGTATGAAATCTGTTGAAAGACCTACAATTCTTCTAGAGATAGCATGAAGGCCCTTAACAAACATGCTGCAAATGAATGAAAATAGTCCACAAACTGCAAAACACCACTTTGCATTGAAGAGCTAAGCCTGGATCATTAGTGAGGGTCAAGAGTCATGTCACCCACAGAGCTGAGCTAGCAATTCAGCCCTTGTGCTACCCTTGCTTCCCTTCCAAGCGCATCACACCTTGTCAGTACAAACTTTGCACATATAATATTCACTTCTAAATGATACCTATGAAATTTGATGGTAAAGGAGGGACCCATGCAACAAAGTTCCTGCTGAATGTATCAGTGAATCTCATATAACATGGCTGTCTTACACCAAACAAGGAAGTGAGGCCCAGTCCCTAGGTTTCACATCAGAAAAGCTTTTCCTCTCTCATATTTTTAAATGTGAAAAATACACATAAAAGCAAATTCTAATACTTCCCCCACACACCTTCCTTTTGCATAGCCTCTTAGGGCACCTCATTTTGAATTTCTTGCTCTTACTGACATCATTGACATTATCCTCCTTAACTTTGTAAAAATCTCTGGTCTCTCTCAGGCTGCAACCCTAGGTCAAAAATTACTGGATCAATGGATAAGAACTAGGAATAGAGTACATTACAATTAGTTACATCAGTAACCTGTCCTTCCTAGTATGTGGCCAGCTCTGCCTCCAACATTAAAGACACTAGGGCCAATCACTGACTGCTCCCTTTTCTCTCACTCCTAGAGGTTACTTCTCCACTCCTGAGGAAAAAAACCTGCCTCACCCTTCACAAAAGCTTTACATCTGCTCTGATTTTTCCACCAGCTCTGGCTAGACAGCTACTTTTTCCCGGGGAAGTCTTGGGGTGAGGAGGAGGAAGGGTTAGGCATTCATTTCACATTCACATTTTTGTAATCAACTTGCCTAAAACCTGAAAAGTTACTAAAACAACCACACTAAGAACAAAAGTGTCTGCCTGCCTTGCAAGCACAAGATCCTGAGTTTGATCCCCAGTACCCAAAACAAAACAAAACAAAAAACAAACAAAAGGGAAGTGCTGCTTTTCCATCTCTTCCAGAGAGAGGTGGCAGATCCTAAAGGTTTATGCAAATAAATAAAGGTCAAAACAATTTCCAGGACATCTGCAGGTTATTTTAAACTGGCCAATGTTCCCAACAATAAGACTCTCAGTATTGCTAGGAAAAATGCTAAGCCTTGATACAGAGTACAGAGCAGGGCAAATATAATTTTAAGCAACAGAGTCAGTGAATCTTAGTGTTCAGAGCAGCTCCTTTTTCAGTATTTCTTATTGTCCAGTTGTTTTGTCCTCTCCCATCCTAACATGAACAGCAATTATTTTATGTCAAAGAGAGGGAAACCTCACTTAATAATTATGATAAAAACAACTGTGTGTAGAATCATAAATGCTAATTGGTAAATGAATCTCAGTGAGTTATAGATCATTGCTTCTCAAACTTTAATCATGCTGGGATACTATTTAATTATGATGGGATAGGAATCATGCTGGAATATTGTTTAAAAACATATTCCAATTTAATAGGTGTAGATGGGCCTAAGAGTCTGCACTTTTCATAAACCTGCAGGTAATGCCTATGCTACAGTTTCTAGGACCAGAGTAAGCAGCAAGGCTCTTAGGCCAACTACATAATTTGTGTGGTCCAGTGCTAACAGTGGGATGTACTTTGTCTAGAAAGTGAGAGAAAGCTGTCTTCTGTCTTCTGAATCTCCCTCTGGACCTGCTACGGTGGGTTTTTACCCTGAGTGTATAATGTTGCTTTTCTTCAGGAGCTAGTGAAGGTACTCTCAAGGACAATGAGGACCTTCACAGGGCCTGGCCATCTCACCTAATCCACACTCATCCTCACCCATAACTGAAAGCCCTCTGATGATGGAGATGGCAGTGGTCGCAGGTGGGTACATTCTGAAAAAGTGCTGGTGAAGCAAAAATGTCACATGGAACAATTAAATGTTTGTTTCTCTTCCCCATCTTCATCACCTCTTTCACCAAAACAAATGGAAACATTTTTTGCAAAAAACAAAATGCAAAAAGATGTCAAAACTTGAAGATTACATTGAGTTTCCTGCAAACCAAGTCTATTCTTCCCACTTGTATCATTCTGCCTGGGTTCCGACTTCCTCAGATCCTATCTCCATCCGCTCTAATTTGCCCCTGCTCTCTTCCCTTTCCTTGGTCCCATCCCTCCATCATTCAACCACCCCAAACCCGCTGCCTTTCCACCTTATGTTCCCATATCTCCCAGACTCATAAGGTGAATGGTAGCTCAGTCCTTGGATCCACTCTCTTTCTCAATCTTGATTCCTATACAAATGCATTCTGACTCATCATTAACAGCAACAAAAGTGACAACCACCATGTCAACAAAAGTAAGGGCTAAACCAGGCCCTACGCCGCATCAGGCCCTGTGCTAAATAAACATCTTATCTGCATCATCCCATGTAATACTCCTGTGAAATAGGCACACTTTAAATGAGAAAAGTGTGTTACTGAGACATTAAGCAACTTGTCCAAGGTCATAGGGCTGTTAGATTGCATAGCTGGAACTTGAAGCCAGGCACTGTTTTTTCCATAGTTCTAGATGTGGCTGTCTGTCTACATTTCCCAGCTTAGAGCACTCAAGTGATGCCCATTCTGTGCTGACCTTCAAGCTGCGTGTTAGCTGAGAGGTGCTGTCACGTTCTGTTTCTGAGACTTTTGGCTATCAGTGTCAATCTCTCCCTCCACTCCCTTTCCTTTTCAACTAGCTAGTAAGCTCTCTGAGGATAGGGACAGTGTGCTATTCAACTTTTTTTTTCAGCTTTAATTGAGTTTATTGGTACATTTCAATTTTTAAATCAACTTTAAAGTAGTATTATTTGCATCTGTGATGTTGTAGAACCACCACTACCATTTCCCGAGTCTTTTCATCATCTCAAAAAAACTGTGTGGCCATTAAACAATAATTCCTCATCTCTCTCCAGCCCCTGGTTGCCTCTATGCTACTTTCTACCCCTGAGTTTGGCTGTTCCAAGAACCTCATATAAGCAGGATTATACCATATGTGTCCTTTTGTGTCTGCTAATCTAATTTACATATTGAACTTCCTTTGTAAGGAAGGAATACTTGACAGTATATGTGTAAAGCATTGTGCTTATCCATTCATCAGTTGGTAGACACTTGGGTAACTTCCACCTTTTGGCTATTACAAATAATGCTGCAATAAACATTAGCATACAGCTACTTCTTTGAGTGTTTGTTTTCTACATTTTGGGTATATACCTAAGAATGAGATTGGGGTTATGTAACACTTCTGTGTTTCACTTAATGAGGAACAACCAAATCATTTTGTGCAGCTGATGGAGCATTTTATATTCCCACGATCAGTGCACAAGGATTCTCTACATCCATGCCAACACGGTTCTGTCCTTTTTGTTCATTTTGTTTGTTTTAAAAAGCTGTGATCAATTGAGAAACACAGATATCTAAACCAATAATCCTAGAAGTACTACTGTGTGTAAATTACTTTATTTTTATTCCTCCTTTTGTTTGTTTTTTCAGAAGAGTTTGTGAAGCTTTAACATTAATTCTTCTTTGAACGTTTCATAGAATTCACCAGTGAGGCCATCT